ATACGGCCCCCATAAACGGGAATGAAGAGAAGAAGGTGACTCGACTAGATAGGACGACTCTAGTGAGATTTAGAACCGGACACTGTCCAAGGCTGAATCACACCAGGAGGCGGTACAACCTGACTGATGATTCCGTGTGTGCAGCCTGTGGGGAGGAGGAGACCAACGAACACCTGATGGCATGCGCAGCCGGGATGATCGCCAGAACTCAAGAGTTTGGTGTCGACTGCAGACTGAGAGCGCCGATCGACTTAAGCATCCGAAGACCCTCTGCCACAGTCCGGTATCTGAAGAAGATCCCGAAGTCGTGGTTCTAAAGCCACTTACCTTGCAATTGATCCTGCAACAACAACAACAACAACCACTACTTAGAAGCTAGATATCGCCTAATCTTCGGACACGGCTAGCTGGAATCGCTATTTCAAAAAGCCCAATCCCTAGTATAAATGGCGCCAGGGGAAAGAGGATGTCCCATATGCGCGCACGAGTGAACTCTGATGTCCACGGGATTTGCAAGATGGAGCGCCCCCAACTGATCAGCTAGGTGGCTTGGATTTCGTGGTGGTGGGGAGAGACGGAGGGGCAAGTTGGCAAAAATGATGAGGGACTGTCATGGAGCCTGCCTTACCAAAGATCTTCCTGGTCACCGGGAGAGCAGCCGAGAACCAATTTTCGAATAAACAGCTTCTCATGCACTCGTAGATCCGGATGGAAGTATGCGATCATCGAGTACGCGGCGGTCAACATCAGGAGGTAGGCGATTGGCCGGTTTTTGCATCGATTTCGGCGCATATTTTGCACCACTTTATTCAAACGGATAACCAGAGCACCGAAAATGCCCTAAATAGGAGAGAAATTTTAAAAAAAGAGAGTAAGGTATGGTTGAGACGCCACCCAGGTTCAAGGACTAATTCTTGCGGGGAAGGAGAAGCGCCTCATGAGAACCGCCCCTTAATCCCTCCCCTCACTTTCTCCTGCACTGACTCGGTCAGCCAGGACTACCTTTTCGACTCCATAACCTTTGTTTTTCGTTCGACGTAACACACACAGCTAGCTTGGCCGGCAAAGACAAGGGAGACTGGAATGACTATTTTTGGCTCATTAGCCATCATCGGGCAGTTATATACAATATAAAGTGTGAGTACCCGAGATGGGAACCCGCTGTCGTGGTGTCTTAAGGGGGTGTAAGACTCCAATTATGGGACAGCACTTGGGGTTGGGTATGACTAGCCGATGACGGCTAAGGAGCCAGAAAAGACCATTCCAGTCTCCCTTGTCTTTGCCAGCAACGATATTTTCCTTGACTACTAGTCGCTGTGCGGCAGTTGATGTGTCTAGAGAATGAGCTCGAAGACAGAGCAGGACGAGAGAGTTCTTTAGAGATCGGTGAACGTTCATCAACGGGTATAAAACGCAGCACTTGTGCTGTACACTCGTATTCGAATGTAGATCACTACAACAGTTTCAGAAGTCGTTAAATCCTTAAAACGATCTGCATAGCTTGACTGTTCAATGAAAGTGGGTCTTGCAAGTAGAAGGAACCAGAAACACAGAGGAGCAGTTTCGTATATTTGAGGGCAATAAAAATAGCCACTTAAGACTCTTTGAAGAGGTACGATAAACGTAGACAATCAGAAGTCGTGAGACAGAGTTCATTGGCCAAAAAACATAAAATGTACTAATCAGTCTTAAAGATGCTTTGGTGAAAGGTTACTGAAGGTGCTTTAAGTTTCAAAGGCCCTGTCACTGCAAAAAAAGAGTGAGGTTACGGACGTAACCAACTGAGGTGCAGAACTGTATTCAACCTGTCTCCTGCTGTGCAATGGTCGGCAAAGGAAAGGTTATCTGTCACTGGGCTTTAATGGCGCTGGCTTTGGTCTGTGAGCGTTAGTGTACAAGGTACGCAGGCTAACATGGAAGTCAAAGACAAGGGGGGAGACCAGAATAGTCATTTCTGGATCATTAGCCAGTCATACCCAACCCCAACCGGTGCACCACGCAAGGCTCGAATTCGCGATATGTTGATCAGAATTCCAAGGTTTAACCATTTGGCCGCAGGCTCGTTGTCTTACCGGTTTAGATAGAGAGAATACTGACATTCGTTGATGAACGCTCGCCGATCGTTAACGGGAATCACTCATTCTCGAGTCCCATCAACAGCTGCATAGCGGCTAGTAGGGTAAGCAAATGAAAACTACCGACAAAGACGAGCGAGAATTGAATGGTCATTTCTAGTTCACTAGC